TTCACCGTGTTGACCAGGATGGTCTCGATCTCTTGACCTCGTGATCCACCCGCCTCGGCCTCCCAAAGTGCTGGGATTACAGGCGTGAGCCACCGTGCCCGGCTTAAGATTTCTTTCTTTCGTTTTTTGAGACGGAGTCTTGCTCTGTTGCCCAGGCTAGAGTGTGGCGGCATAGTCTCAGCTCACTGCAACCTCTGCCCCATCCCCCCGGGTTCAAGTGATTCTCCTGCCTCAGTCTCCCGAGTAGCTGGGATTACAGGCACCCGCCACTGCACCCAACTAATTTTTGTACTTTTAGTAGAGACGGGGTTTCACCATCTTGGCCAGGCTGGTCTCGAACTCTGACATCGTGATCCACTGGCCTTGGCCCAAAGTGCTGGGATTACAGGCGTGAGCACAGAGCTGGCCCTTATTTTTTAGTTCCTAAAAAATGCCTTCTGGAACTGTGGATGCTAGAGCCTTTATCATCTTTTCCTGCACCGTTAATCTAAAATCATATCATTAAATCTGGATTATAAGACTATGGAGCGGGTGCAGTGGCTCAGGCCTGTAATCCCAGCACTCCCAAAGAGTCAGCTTTCTTTTTCTGTTCTTTTTTTTCCTTTTTTTTAGAGATGGGGTTTCACCATGTTAGCCAGGATAGTCTTCATCTCCTGACCTGGTGATCCGCCCACCTCCGCCTCCCAAAGTGCTGGGATTACAGGCATGAGCCACCATGCCCGGCCGATTTTCTTTTTCATCAATCACATCTTGAAAATACAGCCCGGCTGGGCCTGGTGGCTCACGCTTGTAATCCCACCACTTTGGGAGGCTGAGGCAGGTGGATCACTTGAGGTTAGGAGTTCGAGACCAGCCGAGCCCACATGGTGAAACCCTGTCTCTTCTAAACATGCAAAACTTAGCTGGGCTTGGTGGCACATGCCTGTAATCCCTGCTATTTCGGAGGCTGAAACAGGAGAATCGCCTGAATCCAGGAGGCAGCGGAGGTTGCAGTGAGCTGGGATCACGGCATTGAACTCCAGCCTGGGCGACAGTGAGACTCCCTGTCAAAACAAAACAAAAACTACAGCCCTTGATTTCACATGGTTATTTGTTAATTCTCCCAAATAGCATATTTACTCAGGATGTGTCAATTCTCCAGCTAACTCGTCCCATCTCTTATTGGACCATTTTCCTACGAAGATGCAAAATACGTGGGTGGAAGTCGGAAGGTGGGAGGCGAAAAGACACAGCATCACACGGAATCTCTTGTAACTTTGTTGGCAAGGTGGGGGGACATTAGATTGTAGTTCACTCCACTCATGTAATTGTTTTACAGAATAGTTAAAATTATTCAAGTGACACAGTAATATATTTCTTTTTTCAAAATCCTTATTTTTTTTAGTAGAGTCTTGAGATATTTCCCAGCCTGGTCTCAAAGTGCTGGCCTCAAGCGATCCTCCCACCTCGGCCTCCCAAAGTGCTGGGATTACAGTCATGAGTCACCGCGCCAGGCCAGCCATGTTTGTTTAAAAATAAAAAGAGAAATAAGAAACCCTACGCAAAGTCCCCAATCGTTCTCCTCGCTGGCGTTTGAGGACACTTTCCCAGCGTCCTTTCTCTTTTTTTTTTTTTTT